CAGAGCCTTGGTGCCTGCTGACCTACCTTGGAGAATCTGCGCGAGAGGATGCAGCTCTCATGCAGCCGGGGCTGGTATTTCTCTGGCTTGCTGACGTGCAGAACGTCCACGCTGCTGCTGTCCAGACCCGCTTCCAGCCACTCTTGGTTGGGGCAGTGGCCGAGGGAGAAGATCTGTTGGAGAAGAGTCGAGGGAAGGGTCAGGGTGTAATGTGGTGTCTAATATGCTTCCCACTCTCCCCCACCACCTGCCCACCATCCATCCCACCTCTCCACCGCCCAGTTCCTGATCATCTCCACCAACGTTCCTGATACTTCCCCCCAACCCCCACAATACGATGGGGAGATCACAAAAGCTCAACATTCTTAAGTGGTGGAGAGGGAGGCCAAAGGAGGCGGCCGCGATCTTTCTGCCCTCTGCCAGGATCAGATCACCGTCAGATCTGGGGTGGGGGTGGGGGGCAGTGCTGCATTTTAGCCAGGACAGTGACAAATGGAAGGAGACCCCCGTGATGACGGAGGCCTCTAAACCCAGTCACAGAAGGACAGTTAGCCCAGAGAAGACTTTCAGTGGGGCCACGTTTACTGTCTCCAGCAATCCAAAGGGCTGGTTTGTGTAAGACAGAATCATCTTGCTCTGCTTGGCCCCAGAGGACAGGTCTGGGACCGGTGCGGGGAAGCTTCAGAGAGGCAGACTTTTGTTTCATGTAAGGAAAAACATCCTAGCCATTAAAGCTGTCTGAAAGTCCAATGGGCTGCCCCAAGAAGGAGTGAGTTCACCATTCCCGAAGGTCTCCAACCACAGTCCAGATGACCGCTCATGAGGCATTAGAGAATCACATTTCTAGAGCAGGAAGGAAGGAACCTTCAAGGTCAGCTGCTGCAAACACCCATTTTACAGATGAGGAAACTAAGGTTCAGAGAGGTGGTGACCAGCCCAAGGTGATGTCAGAGGCAGAACCAACATCTGAACTTGGTGTTGCACATCCCCAATTCATCATTACAGAGAGAATTCCCAGGCAGTTATGGGAGAGGCTAGATGGCCCTGGGCTGCCGTCTGGGGTTTCTGTCATTCTGTCCTAATTCTTTTATTCCCTAATGCTTCTTACACACCCCGGTGGGCCCAAGGACGAACCAGGCAGGCCGGCCCAGCTCCATCCTGCCTCCATCCTATAGCTGAGAAACCCCCACCCAGGACCACCTGGGAGCTAAAGTCGTGCTATTGAAGCTGGCGGCCTTCACGCAGGTCCCAGCAGCGCACGCTGCCATCCAGACCACCGGTCCGCAGCTGAGTCCCACAGTCAGAGATGGCAATGCAGCCGGCTCCATCTCTGTGGCCCTGAAACTGCCTGAAGAGGGGAGGGCAGGAAGGAGGGAGAAGGCAGCCATGGGCCTTCCCCTGTTTGCCAAGCAGGCCAGAGAGTACTCCTGTGAGAGCTCTTCCCAGCATGTAGCAGAGGGCGGAGGGGCCAGGAGAGCCACACCAGGGTCAGGAGGTTGGTCAAAGCCTCAGCCTAACCCCAAGAGGCCAGAGTCACAGATTGGGGTACATTCAAAGGTGAGGAAGTCGGGGGGGAGACTGGTGGGATGGGAAGTTCAGCTTGGGGGCACTGGGTGAGTTAGACATCCATCTGGGAGGTAGATGGAAGGAAGCCAGAGAAGTTGGGAATTGGGGTTTCACCTAGCCACACCTGGTACAGGTTGTACTAATTGGTTACTGAGATCCCTTCTAACTAAAATGCTGGGTCACCCCTGCCCACTTTCTTCTTCTAACCTTGAATCTCACACTGATCTAGAAAGCCTCAGAGCTCACACTGGTACATCTTCCCTGGCCTTGGGGCCCTATGTACCAAATCCCCTTGGCTTTGGGTCCCCCAACCTTTCCATCCCCAGATACCACCTAATGCCACATGTAGCCCACTCCCTCTCCCAAGTACTGAGCTGCCCTTTTCCACGTCCTCAGATCTCTGACTATGACATGGACCCAGATCCCCTACTTCTACATCCCCCAGCCTTCAGCTCCCTGACTGTTGGCCCTCACCTGACCATCACCTAGTTCTGCAGGTCGCACACCACAGTGGTGTCATCACTGCAGCAGGAGAAGCAGATCTTGGCATCAGAGCTGATGGCCAGGGCATAGCAGGTGGGCGCTGAGGATGTGAGCTCAGCCTTGATGTGGGGGGTGGGGGCTGCCAGGTCCCAGATGGACAGGGTGCTGGCTTCCCCACCCACGATCAGGCTCCGTCCATCTGGCAGCAGTTTGTAGGAGCGGATGTAGTTGTCCCGGTTCTGGGTGCGAGGGGGTGGAGGGGGAGAGGGGAGGAGGAGCTGGGGACAGGCTCAGCACCAGGCCCAGCTCCCTGGGGAGCCACAGAATCCCAGGCAGACAAGGGAGCTGAGCTGGGGGAAGCATTCAGCCCTGGCCAGGGGAGGGGAAAGGGCTTGCCCAAAACCACACCCCAAGTCAGGGAAGAGCCCAGAGCTTCCCCTCCCCTCCCCAACCACTGGCACCAGGTCTGGACAGTGGGTGGCCCCTGCTCACCCAGGCCCACCCAGCTCTGCCCAGGGAAGGGCTCTGGGGAGGGCCAAGGCTGGGTAGCTCACGGCCCGTTCCCTCACCAAGCAGTCGAGCTGTGCCGCGGGGGTCTTGGTGCCTGGCTGGGCCACATCCCACACCTTCACACAGCCCTTGCCCCCCGTGTAGACGTGCTAGGTGGAGTTGCTGATGGTGACAGCGCAGACGACCTCACCGTGGGTGAGGGTGTGCAGCTGTCGGGCGTGCCTGGGGATGCCTGTGCCCAGGAGGGCGTCTGATGGGAAGGGCACTGGCTTCATCTGCCCATCAGCAGACACATGGAAGATGTAAGCTCTGGAGGGGACGGAAGGGGCCTATAACCAGAGGGTAGAGTCTGACTCTCCCCATCCTAAGCAGAGCAGCCCCCATTCAGCTGTCACTAGAGCACCTCAGAGAACTTGACAAACAGCCTGGACAAAGGCTCTTCCCCCAACCCATGCAGTTATTGGGATACAGCTGGCCCTTCATCTTACAAACCTAAGGTGAGGAAAAGGCTTCAAAATGGCCTCTCAGATCCTGGAGAGGGGTCTATCCCCAGGTCCCTCCCCTGACACACGCCAGCCTAGGATACACCCACTTCCAAGGATCTCCAAGAATCTTTTGGATGTGAAGTCACAAAGGAATCCAAGCCATTTCCCAGATGCAGCCACCTTTTTCAGGGAGCCCACTGCCCTCACCTGGCCCTTATCAGCTAAGTACTCACGGCTTTCCCCCAGGGATACCAGGCAAGGTGGAGGAGAGGGCAGATAGTGGATGTGGGAGTGAGACTCAGTTTCCATCTGCTGATTCAGGGGAGGAGCAAGAAGAAAGCCTCAGGTTCCTATCTTTGCCCCCCAGATCCTCCTCCCTTCACCCCCTAAGCTGGACAGAACTCTCAACTGAAGCTCATGAGAACCGCAGCGTTTTCTCCTCCTAGTCCTGAAGGATAACTGATGACCAGACGTGCCCTTTCACAAATAGGATCATGAGGACTCGCCTAGTTCCAAGAAAATCCAGAGTGCTTGCCTCTTCCCCAACTTGGGGCCCAATGCTGACTCACCGTGGGGGAGCGGCCAAACATTATGGTGCTGCTGACCTGTGGGGACAGGTGAAGGCTCACGTAGGAGCTAGGCACAGCAAAGTCCCCTTTGAGTAGAGTGTGGGGTCCCACGCCAAAGGATGAAGTGAAGGGGCCAGACAAGGTCAGGGGACTCCTCAAGGCTGTGGGGAGGGGACAAGACCTTCAGACATGCCCTCCTCCCCCCAGCACCAAGAAAGGGGCTTCAGCTCCTGAGCCTCCTCAGTTCAGGGCTTCAGGGTTCCCAAATCTCTGTGCTCTTCAGCCAAGAATTTTATCCTCCAACCTAGGGATTCTGGGGACCCCATAAGGGTTCAGCAGTGCCCACTGGACCCTCCAGAGGAGGATAGGGATAGGGAAGATTCCCCAACCAGCCCTCTTCATCTTCATTCCTGTTACCCTCAGCTCCCCCATTTGTTCCCACAGGAAATTCCATTTCCCACTATGATATAGCTCCCTGAAGGCCCCAGTGCCCAGAACCCATCTCTCTCTGAGAATGCCATTATTGCTTCAAGCTCACCACACCCAAAAAACCCAAGTCACCACCTTCCTCTCCCCCAAATGACCCTAGGATCCAGTGATCTAACCCAATTTCTCTGGGCCAATAGCATTACCATCTTCTAACTACCCAACCAGTCACCTCTGAAGCATCTTTGACCCCCAGCATTATACCTTATGTCCAAACTGCTCCCAGGCTATGGGGCCTGAGGTAAGCCTCTTCCTTCCCTAGGCTCTGGGTTTCCAATATGTCAGATGACCAGATTGGACTAGTCTCTGAGGTCCCTTGCAGCTCTAGCATTCTATATTCTTTAAGTCTAGTCAAATCTTCCAAATGTCTTCCTCATCCATTGATAGCCCACCTCCAGTTAGCCTCATGGCACCATAACTAGCCTCCATTCCTTCAGCCTCTACCCTTGACCTTTCTTGTATGGAGTGTTCTTCAAACAACACTTTTTTTTTTGGCAAGGCAATGGGGTGAAGTGACTTGCCCAGGGTCACACAGCTAGTAAGTGTCAGTGTCTGAGGCCACATTTGAATTCAGGTCTTCCTGAATCCAGGGCCAGTGCCCTATCCACTGCACCATCTAGCTGCCCCCCAACACTTTCTTCCCATCTCTTCCCTGCTTCAAAACTCCCAAAGCCACCCCTGTTGCTTAATACATCAAAAGTCTAAATTCCTGAACCTGACATCCAATGTTCCATCCCCCCCCTCCTAAGTTCCATTAGGTCCCATCCTGCCTGGCCAACCTCATTTCTCATTACTCCCAATTACATCCCAAAGATGCCCATGGCATTTCAATAGGGTGTATCACCTGAATGTCAGCAGCACACACCCCTTCCCACCCTCCACTTCCAAACACACAGTCCAGTACAAAATACAGTATTCATTTGGGTCTTCAAGCCTTTTCAGCTCATATCATTCTCCATTCCTGGAGTGAATCTTAGTAACCTGAATAACCTTATAAGCTTAGAATTTTGGAACCATAAAACAGAAACATGTCAGAACTGGGAGGGCCCTTAGAACACAAAAAGTGTTAGAGTTAGAAGTGACCTTAGACATCTTCTAGTTCTCCTCCTCCCCGCCCCCCCCCAACCATTTTACAGGTCCAGAAAGGGGAACGTATTTGCACAAGATGGTAGAGTGAGTTGGCGATGGACATGATAGCAGACCCCAAGTTTCCTAATTTTCAGTCTCCCTTATTTCCCTTAGCCCGCGGTCTGAGTCAGTGAGGTCCTGCTCCCACCAAACAGTCTTCATCCATCTTTCGTAGGCTGACTCTCCCCTAGCAGGAGCTGGGGTAGAGGTGGGTGGGAGGCCATGTTTCTCCCCAGCACCATCTGTGGCAGGCAGCGGTTTGGTGCTAAGCTGGTGGAGGTGGCTGGCAAAGCTGGGGCCAGGGATGGAGGCGTCTAGGGAGGAGGAGGAGCCGCTGGGCTTGCCCATTGGAGGCGTGCTGACAGAAAACAGCTTCTGCACAGAGAAGGGAATGGGGAGGGGCAGTCAGATTTAGGGTAGGGGGAGATAAGTCGCTGGGGACTATTTAGAGCTAATACATTTGGCAGAAAACTAGGGAGGGTGATGCATGAACAAGCACATGTGTGTACTTGCAGGTGTCTGTGTATGTGTTAATATATTACATACATGTGTGTATGCCCACTCATGTTAGCAACTCTTTACATATAAGGGAACCACTATGGACACGCATACATAGATTTGCATAAGCACTGAAAAAGGTGGTTACACACTGTCCATAAATCCACATGCATTAGCCTATCTACACAAATGCACTGGGTTTGTACATATGGATGCATGTAGGGACACACATATGCATACGTGGATGGCATACATGGGTGTACCATTTCCCATGAGTACATATGTGTACTTGCATCTGTGAACATCTTGCGTGTTATCACACACAAGCGCATATGAGTGTGGTCATGAATGGGTGGGACAGGGCAGAGAGAGCCACCTGGGTGGAGGGGAGTCCCTCCTGTAAGCCAGCCTCCCCGCTCCTGCCACTGCCCCTCCTGTGAGCAGTAGGGCTTTACAGCCTTGTTGGGGGGAGCTCCAGGGACATCCTGGGAGCACCGCCATCCCCTTAGCTTTCTCTCTGTCTCACACCAGCCCCCTCCTCCCTCATCTGCCTGAGCCAGTGGGACTCAGATTGATTGGCCCTGAAAGGCAGCCCTCCCAATGATGTTTCAATCCCAGAATCTGACTTGGCCAATCGATCCAGGGCCCAGGAAAGCAGTTCAGGAAGCAGCCAAGCAGGAAGGCCCGCAGGCCCTGGGTGCCAGGAACTGCCACATTAACTCCTTGTGTACAGTATGGGCTTTAAAACCATTTTACAAATCAAGTTATTGAATTGAGCCCCATGCTGAGGTGGGGGTGAGGGTGAGGGTGGGAAGTAGTGCTGAGTACTCAAAATCACAGCTCCCATTTCTCTGGTCCCTGAAGTTTACAAAGCACCTTTCTCATCACTGACCTGGAGGGAGGTAGTACATGCATAATACACATGTATTTATCATATATATATGAACTATTCATTTTGCAGATGAGAAAACAGAGGTGCAGAGAAAGGAAGTCATCTATGCAAGGTCACAGAACTTGTAAGTGAGAGGAGGTCTGGACTCAAATACAGCTTGGGGTTTTTTTGGGTTTTTTTTTAGGCAATTGGGGTTAAGTGACTTGCCCAGGGTCACACAGCTAGTGTCTGAGGTCATATTTGAACTCAGGTCTTCCTGACTTCAGGGCTGGTACTCTATCCACTTTGCCATCTAGCTGCCCCAAATCCAGCTTTTTGGGCCTGTATCTCTATACAGGCATCTTCTATCACAAGGCACTGCCTCAGCCTCCCTGCCCCTGGTGCTGAGTCAGCAGCCCAGGGCTAGAGATGTGGTCACAATGACTGTCTACAAATGGGCTCTTTGATTCCTTACCAGACTGGGATCCTTGCCTTTGGGGGTCAGTGTGGCCTGGCTTGAGGCCAAAGAGGCCAAAGAAGTTGGGCTGTCGGGCAGATCTGGATGTGTTTGTAGTTTCGGGCTGGGTGTGGGCACCAGGCTGGGGGGTTCCGAGACAGGATCCTAGCAATGAGAAGGTCAGAGAGCTTGGGGAACCTGCCCCTTCCTAACGGGAGATTTCTTACTCCGCACTTAGAAGGGAGTCTCTAATTGGGCACATCTGTCCCCACTTCCTCACCCCAGTCCCAGGAGGGAGGCAGCTTGGGGGTGGGAAGGAGACTTGCTCAGATAAGAAGGTGGTGAAACTGAAGGATGGAGCCCAGAGCATGTGAAGGAAGGCAGCCTGGAGCAGAGCTGTGAAGGTCTAGATTCCCATCTCAGCTGTGCTGTATGACCTTGGGCAAGTCCCTTCTTTCTATAGACCACATATGAAATGGGAGAGGGGAAGTGGGACCAGATCATAGATCTTTATCCCCCCAAGACAACTGGGGTTAAGCGACTTGCCCAGGGTCACACAGCTAGTAAGTATCTGAGGTCAAATTTGAACTCAGGTCCAAGCCAGGTGCTCCATCCACTGAGTGCCCACTGCCCCTTAGATCAGAGGTTGGTAAGCTTCATTGTGTCATGAAGTCCTTTGGCCGTCCATCTGGTAAAGCCTAAGGAGCCTTAGTCAGCATGTTTTCAAATACATCAAATAAAATGTATACATAGGATTAGGAAGAAAACTAATTATGTTGAAATATAGTTTTCAATTAAAAAAAAAGTTCATGGATCCCTTGGTTAAAAAACCCCTAGACTAGAGGATCTCAAAAGATTGTTCAAGCTCTGGGGTTTTATCATCTTAATGAGACCGTAAGGTAAGATGAGACATTTAGAAGTTACTGAGTTTTGCCCAAGCCTTTTGGAGAACGGTAGAGAGAAGGGAGGAGGGGACTCCCATCTCTCTCTCCAGCCCCTGTCCTAGGTCCTGCCCAAGAAATCAAGGCTTGTATCTCCCTCCCCATCAGGATACTCTGAAACCTATATTCAATGTTCTCTTCCCAGAAAAAAAAAAAAGCTTTCCTCTTGATGCTAATGTCCCTGTTCCCTTACCCCAGAGGGAAGAAGTCCCAGCTGTATGCCCTCACTCCCACCCCCCAGAGGCCAGACTCACCTCATCCACCACCAGATTATAATCGCTCTTGTCACCATCGCTGTCCTGGTAGAGACAAAGGGGTAAGCTAGATGGGAGCTGGCAGGGAGGGATCCCCTATGAGCAGGCCTCAGAGGGAAAGCCAAGCTCCCCTTATCAGCAGGCTCCTTTGACTGTAAGAGGTCAGAGTCAGAAGGGCCTTCGTATATAGAACCTGGAATATCAGAGCTGGGAAGAGACTTGGAACGTGGAAGACAAAATGTCAGGGTTTGGAAAACCCTCTAAACATATGATAGATTGATGAGTTTTGCTGAATTTTTTTTCTCTTTCTTTTTATTCTTTGTTACAAGGGGTGGGTCTCCAAGGAGAAAAGGAACATATTTGGAAATGGAACTGTTGTAACCACAAAAGATATCAATAATCTAAAAAAAGGAACACAGATCATAGAATGTCAGAGCTGAAAGGGGCCTTTAGAGACCATTAAAATACCCAGGTTTCTCTTTTTACAGATGGGGAAACTGAGGCCTAGAGAGAGGAAAAGGGACACAAGCCCACTTACATAGTTTCCCAGAGGATCTTTCTCTTCCTGTTTGCATGTCTGACCAATGAGCCACTCTTCCTCCACTAGGCTCTCTGAAGGTGAAGGGGATATGCTCTGCAGCAAAATGTAAAAAGTTTATCAGGCATCCTGGAAGCAGCTATGAAGGCTCAGCTGGCCCTGGGAAGGAGTCCACACCCCTTCCCTGCTCCAAGTCCCTGAACAAGTGTCTCCAGTTCCTGGAAGCTAAAAGAAGGAGGACACGGCCATCCATTAGACACAGGGCGTCCCAGCTGGAGAGAGGGCCTGCATTCTCCCAGCTCTCCAAATTGCACCCCCCTCACCAAGAGATACAGGCCTTGGGTTCTCTATTGAGGAAGGGGTTTCAGCTCCTGTGCACTGCCTGGTTCTTGAGGAGGCCACAACATCCTATCTAGGGGTCAAGGGAGGTGGGTGCCAGGTTGTGCCTGCTTCTCCCCATGCTTATTTATAGACACACACATACACACACACACACACACACACACACACACACTGCCTTCCCCACAGCTCTGCTTTTTTCTCCCCATCTTGCAATATGTTCACTCTGGAAGGGATAATGAGGCATATCTGTAATGGAAAATCCCCAGCCCAGCCTACAGCCCCTTCTCTTCTCTCCTTGTTTATTCCCTCTTGCCCTGGTCAGAGACTGTCAGAGCTGGGAGGGACCTAGAGACAGAGAACACAGAAGGCCTGGAGAAGACGGCCCTTAGAACGCAGAATGCCAGGTCTGGGAAAGGACTTGGAAATTATCTAACCTTACCTCTTTCCCAGCCTGGGAAACCATTGCCCACAAGGTGTCTCTGACAGCCTCCATTTACAGACCTCCAGTGACAGGGAGCTCCCTCCATCCTTCAGCAGGCCCTTCCATTGGGGAACATCTCTGACTGTTAGGAACTTTTTTCTTGCACCAAGGTCAAATTCGCCTCTCTACCATTTCAGCCCAGTGTTCTTTGTGCCTTTCTGAGCCCAGACTAAGTCTAATCCCTCTCTCATATGACATGCCTTCAGATATTGGAATATAGTTTTGAGTCTCCTCCAACTATACCTTCCTAGCTCTTCCAATGGCCTGCTCTCTGCCCTGTCCCGACCCCAGCTTCCCTTCTCGCAGTGTGCTCCTTCCTCTAATGTGGTCCTTGAACTGGACATGGTCTTTCAGGTCAGGCATGAGTAGGGCAATCCCAGCTTCTGTTCAGGGCACCAGGTTATACCAACACAGCAGCTGAGGCCATGGGGAGAGGGAGGGCTGGTCATGGGAATTCAGCAGAAGGTGCCTCCATGCCTGCCTCACCAACCCCTCTCACAAATGCTGATGGGACCCAGAGCTGAGACCAGCCTGACTGAAGAAGAGGGAAGTGGGCTGTCAGCTTATAGCTGTTATCTTCAACCCATCCCCAGAGAGGCCCTTCGCTTCCCTCCAACTTTGCTCCTTGTGGGGGGGGGGAGAAGAAGGCGGGATGGCTGGTCAATAATCTCTCCTCCTGGGGTGGGAGTGGGGAAGGGAGGAAAGGCCTGCATAAGCATTGGTGCTCAAAGCCCAGACCCAGGATCCTAACTACCCCCACTCCCCTCTTACACACACATGGGCCAAAGCTGGCCAAGATGAAGAAGCCCAAAGGCCAGATGAATGCAGATGAGATGGAAATGCCACGGCAAATCCCCAAGTGATCTCAGCTCAGGGTGGCTCTGGGAGGGGAAAGAGAGAGTCCTAGTCCCAGCCCCATCACTCACCCGGCTGCTGTGGCCTCTGACTGCTGCACCCCAGGCCCAGGGGAGGAGGAATGAGAGAGACAGAGAAGGGAGAGAAGGGAGGGAAGGAGGGAGGGGGGATAGAGAGAATAAAGGAGAGAGAGAGAGGAGAAGGGGAGAGAAAGAAGGAGGGAAGGGGAGAGAGAGAGAGAGAGGAAGGGAGGGGGAAGAAGGGGGAGGGAGGAAGAGGGGAGTGGGGGGAGGGAGAGGGGGAGGGGGGAGGTAGATGGAGGGAGGGAGGGAGGGGGAGGAGAGGGAGAGAGAGAGGAAAGAGATGGAGGAGGGTGAGGGAGGAGAGGGAGGGAGGAGAGAGAGAGAGAGAGAAGAGAGAGAGAGAGAGAGAAGAGAGAGAGAGAGAGAGAGAGAGGAAGGGAGATGGGGGGGAGGGAGAGGGAGAGAAGAGGAAGAAAAAGAATCATGAGTGCAGGCAGCTTCCTTTCCTTCTCATCCCAACATGTCCTTTTTCTCTTGTATTTTTGTGTCACCCCTTTTTCCCCCTACCTGGTACAGCCCTTTTCCTACCCCCTCCCAACGTCCCTTCTTAACCTTATAACCCTCTTTCCTCATCCCCTCCCTCATTCTCTCTCAACCTCAGAGTAGGCCCTTACCAGGAGGCTCCCTGGTGCCTGGGATCCTCTGATTCTCCTTGGTAGTAGTATCAACGGTAGTGGTGGTGGCTGCCAGCTGGGCCTGGGTGACTAGGGCTCCAGACAGGGCTAGCAGCCCTGCTGCAGGGTGGGGGGTCAAGGGTACAGGTGGAATGTGGTGTGACAGGTGCTGTAACTGCTGCTGCTAGATTGGAGAAGGGTCCAGGTTGGGGAGGGGGACAACAGTTAGCCCCCAAGGAGGTTTGTGGCCCCATTACACAGGAGGGCAAACTGAGGCTCAAGAGGGAGAAGGTCTCACAGAAAATCAGGGGTAAAACAGGAAACAGGGACTCGGGGGTCTTGTGAGGTCTGACTTAACCAAGTGTCAAACTTCTTGGCTTGGCCCCAAGCTCTGGACAAAACCTCAGCCTGATGGATGCTGACTCACCCCGATGATGCTGTTCAGCTCGGTTGTGGTCACCTGTTTGGCCCTCTCCACAGCCTGAAGGATTTGCTGCTGGTGCTTGGGATACAAACACATTGAGGTGGGGTGGGGGGACGGTGGGAGCAGCGGGGTAATGGAACAGAGACACCTTGGGGTGATGGAAATAACTGGCTCTGAAATGATAGGACCCAGGATCGAATCCCAGCTCTACCACCTAGGCCCCGGGGGAGGGGGAGCCCTTGGGCCAATCACCGACACTCTCCGGTCCTCAGTTTCCTAATCAACCACTCAGTCCACATTTATTAAATGCCTACGGTGTGCCAGCTCCTGGGCTATGCACTAGAAATACAAAAAGAGGCAAAAGACAGTTGCTGCCCTCAAAGAGGTTGCAATCTCACCTGTAAAATGAGTGGGTTGGAGTGGGTGGTCTCTCAGGTCCCTTCCAGCCCCAAATCTATGAATGTTTTTTCTACTCCCTCAAACTAGACATGTGCTAGGACACCCTAGTCCAGGAGCAAACTGAGCCGATCCTTAATGCTTGTTGAATTGATGGATTGCAATGGGGATAAGGATCCCTGGCCCTTATCAGTCTCCATCCTCCCACAGTCCAGAACCTCAGCACCCTGAGACAGAGAGGCAGGGTGGATGGAGCACTGAACTTAGCATCAAGAAGCTCTGGGTTCAAATCCTACCTCTGACATATAGTGGTTGGGTGATCCTGGACAAGTGGCATCTCTCTGGGCCCCCGTTTACTCATCTATGAAGTCACTGTCCCAGACGGCCTTGAAGGTCCCTTCCAACTCTCAGGCTCTATGTTCCTTTGATCCTCCCTTCCCTGCCCTTCCCAGAAGCCCCGAGCCCACCAGGCTCACCTCCTGCTTCACAAAAGGGATGATCTTGGCGCAGACGGTGCTGAGTCTTTTCACAATCTCTGCCTGGCAGAGAGACAGACACAGAACAGGGTCAGGCTGGAGGCATGGGGAAGAAGGCAGTGTCTTCCAGTTCCCCCCCCCCAACAATCCCTTACAAGGAAAGCTAGAGACAGAAGAAAAAGAAGCCCTCCCCACCCTCCTTAGCAGAGCTGGGTCTGCTCCCTATCCTAGGGAAGCCCCAGCTCTCTCCCTCTCTTCTGAGCCTCAGCTTCCTCGTCTGTAACAGGAGATGGCGGCCACTGCCCAGCCTTCGTCAGGAGGGTGGAGGCAAGATGGAGAAGGCCATTCCCCAACTGAAGAGGGAGAAGGGAACTGGTTCTTTGCAGAAAAAGGCCAGGGCTGAAGGCACACAGGGGTGCTGTGTGTGTGTGTGTGTGTGTGTGTGTGTATGTGTGCGTGTTTGTACCCTTGAACCTGTGTTTGTCTGTGAATATGTCTATAAACGTGTGTGTGTGTGTGAGCGCATGTGTGTGTCTCACTCCCACGATCATAAAAGGAGCAAACTGGGAGGGAGGCCTCTCCAGCTGGAGAAATATGGCTGTTGGATTCACCACTTCGTCGGGCTCTGCTCCAAACTAATTTCTCTGGCAGGCAGCCCCGTGATGACGGGATTGATGGATCTGAAGAGTGACAGCAAATTACTGCCGGAACAAAGCAGGCAGCCACGAGAAGGAGGACAGGAGGTGGGGTGTGGGGGAGAGGAAGCAAAGACAAGAGCAGAGAATGAGGCCAGGCCAGGCAGGGCATGGGCATCTTGTAGAGGATGTCAGAACTGGAAAGCACCTTGGAGATCACCCAGTGCCAGCCTCACTGTGACCTCTGGCAAACAGCCGACTCAATTTCTCCATGTGTGAAATAAAGGGATTGGACCAGATGATCTCTAAGGTGACATCTATCTCTGAGGTACTGCGCTCTAAGGGCCCTTAAAAAAAAAAAACCACCAGAACGGTGATTTCACTGTTGTAAGGAAGTCTTAGTGAGAGGATGCCCTCCACAATTTACAATCTTATAAAGTTGCCTTAGTGTGTGTGTGGAGGGGGGGAGGGGCAGAGTTGAGAGATTGTGTGACTGGTTCAGGGTCACACAGGTATCATGTGTCCAAGGCCAGACTTGAATCCAGGCTGCTTCATTCTCAAGATACCTTACTTCCCTCTACATCCTATCTTCTCCTAAGACCTCTTCTAGTGAAGATAGTCTACCTGCTACGTTCTCAAGTCCCTTCTGTGAGTCTGTGGCTCTACTCCTCTCCTCATTTTACATCTGGGGAAACTGAAGCCGAGAGGTGGGGAAGGGACTTGTCCAAGGTCACACATCAAACTCAGACAGAATCCAGAATGGGACCTAGGTATCTTGAAAAGCAATCTGTTTGGCTCCAACCCAGAGATCTAGGGCAAAACACTTAATCTCTAGGTCTCTTCCTTTTCACAATTATCTGGGGATATGGCTAAGATTCTGAAATACACAGCCTGCTCCCTTCCCCCCTCACCTGCTTGTGCATCTCCAGGTTGAGGCCATAGGACATCTCATAATACTGAAAGGCAAGGAAGAGCTGTCATGATCACCAGGCATAGGTGATATCCTTCCCTGCCTTCCCTTTGGTTCAACAAGAACATTTATGACCTCAGGTTGGGTCAGAACCAGCCCAGCTCCTGGCACATTCCTCTACCCCCCAACATACTTATAGGTCCCCCCAGGCTTGCATTTGTAGAATTTAGTCCTATATCACTTATCCTAGAGAAATCTCTCTCCAAACTCTCCCACCTAGTTTGTTCCTGGGGGTCCAGGGAACTCTCGCCTGGTCTATCTTGACTTCATTGCTGCAGCAGACTCATTCCCACCTCACCCCCTACACTTCAACAGAGAAACCCCTACCACTACCTCCAAGAGCAGGAGAGGAAGGTTCCTAACACATTCTCCCTCCACCATTAATGACCTTGGCCTGTGTCCCTCCTTTCACCAGGACCCACTGGGACTGGGGGAGAAGCATGCCCATTCTCTCCTAGCTTCTCAATTTCCCATTTCTGGCTCCCTCCAACCCTAAGCCCCGCTCCATTAGCCTAAGGAGAACACACTCATCAAAAAGAAAAAACACCTCCCGGAAAACTACAAGTTATGACCTAAGATCCTCCACAGAGAGGTCCACTCAGGTCAGTGGGCACTCCCTTCTAAAATGACAGAGTCCCAGCTCTCAAAGAGCTTAAGGTCTTTTGCAGGGGGTGGGGAGAGGAGTGTGACATCATGATTCCAAGGAGGTCATCTGTGCAAAGCATTTTGAAAACTTTAAATATAGAATATATTTAATAAATTGAATAAATGTAGAATATAGTCTCTCTATATTCATATAGATATGTCATTTATTATTCTAGATGACAATCTCGGGAAAGCCAACATTGGCAGCAGTTTGGCATAGGGGTGAGGAACTTGTAGCCTCGAGGCCACGTGTGGCCCTCTAGGTCCTCAAGGGCAGCCCTTTGACTGAATCCAAACTTCACAGAACAAATTCCATTAATAAAAGAATTTGTTCTGTAACATTTGGACTCAGTATGAAAGCTGCATCCGAGGACCTAGAAGGCCACATGGAGACCAAAGCGTTCCCCACCCCTGGTAGAGGGAAGAGCCCTGCACCTGGAATGAGAGGATGTCCTGCTTTGGTCACTATGAGATTCTGGCCTTTTCCTTCCTTCCCAGAGCTTCAGTTTTCTTATCTGTAAAATGGGTAGGTGGGTGAATGGGAAGGGTATGTTGAACTAGGTTATTTCTAAGGTCCCTTTCAGCTTGAATATTTTGTGAATTTTAGATTCCTAAATCCAACTCCCCTTCCTTGACTCATTTTAGAAATAGTGAAACTAAAGTTCAGGGAAGCAAGGACCTTATCATAAACCTTATCATAAGCCCATGGCAGGGTCAGGGACTGGAATTCAGGTCTTTAGATAAAACAATTAGTAAAAATGGGGAAACGGTTGGAGGTTGCAGGAGGAGGCTCAGTGTGCCCCCCCTCACCATGACGTAATGACGCTGCATCTCAGTCTTCTCACTGGCCAGTTTTTCACACTCCAGTTTGAGGCTGGGGAGATCAAGGAGAGGGCAGACCCGGCATCAGGAACTGCCCCGCCCCCAGTCTCTTCCTCACCTAGATCAGGAAATGCCGTGCCCCCTAAGCCGCTACTTCACCAGGATACTTCCCACTCTGAAGCCAATTCCTAGGATGTTCCTGGCTCTTCTTCCCTCACCTGGCCCCTCCTACTCTAGCCCCTCCCCCTTCTTTCACTATTGGCCCTTTGAGCTCTGGGGTCCCGCCTTCTTTGCCTCCCTATTGGCTCCTCCCTCCCCTCACCTGCTCTTAGGTTCCGCCCCCCCCTTGGCTATGCCACTTCTCCCTTCACCTGGCCTCTCCCACTTCTAGGCCACGGCCTTCTGTCTCTCCCGGCCTATTGGCCCTTAGCTCTCGGAGGCTCCTCCCTCACCTGGCCTCTCCCACTCTCCACGCCATTGGCCCTTTTCGTACTGAGACATTGCCCTCACCAGAACGCCCCCTCCCTCACACTTAGAGACTCAGGCTCCCAGACTGGGGGAATGTTTGGTGGGGGAAGGGGACAGCCCTCCAGTACAGCTCTCCCGCCCCGCCTCACCTGTGGTACTGAGCCTGCAGATATTGAAATTCCTCCTTCACGCGGTCGCAGATCTCTAAAACAGAGAACTTGAAGGGCTGTCCAGCCTGGAGTGGAGCGTGGTGGGGGGGGGGGATAAGAAGATACTAGATCTCAGGACCAGACTAGCCTGAGAATCTCCCCCGACCCTCGGGCCCCCCACACTCCTACGCACCCTGGGAATCCACTCACCGGAGGCCTGCCTTGGGGATACATCCTGCGGGCCCCGCCCGTTCCACCCTGTACCCGAGGGCTCCCCCAGCCCCGGGCCCCCAGCCGCCGCCCGGCCAAATGTTGAGGAGAGCCAAAAGGATGAGGGAAGACGGGAGGGAGGGAAAAGAAAGCAGGACTGAGGATAAAACCTAAGGAGGGACGATGAAAAGGGGATGCCGCAGAGGGACCCAGGAGTCCGGGGCTCCCTGTGGAGAGAGAGGAAGAAAGGAAAGTGGCTGGGAAGTAGGCAGGAGCTGGGGAAAGCTGGGGGGGGCGGCCTAGGCAAAGGGCCCCAGAACCCAGGAGTTCCCGGCTCCCCGGGGCCGTCTGGAGCTGGAGAGAGATAAGGGAGCGCCCAGGGGCTCCTACTCCGGAGGGAGAGTGAGCTCAGCTGCCTCTTTTCCGAGATGAGCCAGAGGAACTGGGCAGGAGAGAGGGGAGGGAGGGAAGAAAAGAGAGAGGGAGGAGAAGAGCGCAGCGGGCGGGCGGGGAAGGTCAGGAGCGAGGTGTGGATCTCCGGCAGCTGTGGCACCCGCAGGGCCAGTGGCCGCAGTCTGTCCCGCTCTAGCCGCCTCGGGGCTCAATTCTATCAGAGACGCCGCTAGCACCGCGGCCTTAAGGTGGCCCGCCTCCCCAATCCTCCTATCCCGCGCCTTCCCCGCCCCAGTCAATTCTGCTCACCCCAGACCTGGCCAGCGTCCACCTACAAACAGCCAGACTGCGACTGGGTGCCTGAGGATTGGAGCCTCCTCTAAGCATTACCTGGGGAGACTCTCCAGAGGGGCTGGGGGCGGGGGAAAGGGGAGGCCTTGTCTGGAGGGTGCTGAGGAGCTTATTTGGGTATCAATGGGATGAAGAAAGTACTGGTTGAGTCCAGAAGCACTGGCTGAGGCACAGATCCTGTTTGTAGGCAATACAGTCTTCAAAAGATGGGAGCCCAATTTCACTTCCTCCAGGAAACCTTCCCTGATTCTTACCAGGATCTGTCATACACTGTGGACTCTTCATTCCCACCAGTGGGAATATGGCCTCAGAATAAGAATAGAATTCCACAGAGCATAGAGTATCAGAACTGGGAGGGTCCTTAGCAAAGAGGATGTCAGAGCAGGGAGAGTCCTTAGAAGTCAGAATGTCAGATCCAGGAGGCTCCTTAGAATACACAATATGTCAGAGCTAGGAGGGATCTTGGAACCTGAATGTCAGAGCAGGGAGGACCCTTAGAAAAAGAATATCAGAACAAGGAAGGCACAGAATAGAGCTTGGAGGGGCCTCAGAACATAGAATGTCAGAGCTGGGAAGGCCCTTAGAATACAGAATGTCAGAGCTGGAAGGGTCCTTAGAACTCAGAATGTCAGAGCAGGCAGGGACATTAGAACACTGAATTTCAGAGCTGAAAGGGCCCTTAGAACACAGGTCAGAGCAAGGAGGGACCTTGCAGCATAGATTGTCAGAACTGGGAAGGAACTTAGAAATTAGGATCATTCAGTCAAGAAGTCTTTATTAAAAACCTGTAAAATGTCAGACCTGGAAAGACCCTTGGAACAGGATGCCAGAGCTGGGAAAGATGTTAAAACATGTTAGCACTGGAAGGAACTATAGAACAAAACATGTCAGAGCTGGCAGGAATCTTAGAACACAGAATAAGCTTCCCACTAAACATCCCAGAGTGATCCAAGAGTGTCCTGTTCACCTAGGAAGAAATGAAGAAAAGAAGGGAGAAAAGAAAAAAAGAGCTGAGTGGCCTTGGCATTTTTAGGTGGGAGGTATATGATGTAGCAGAAATGGCATCCCCTTCAGCATCAGAAGATACTAATTCCTGCTCTGCTGCATTCTATTTGCTAAACCTTAGATCAGTCACTAACCTGTCTGGTCCAAAATTGAATTCATTGTCCCCTAAACCTGCCCTTCCTCCCCAAATTTCATGTTTCCTTTGGAAACACCAATGGATTTGAAACCTCAGGAGAGATATGTTAGACATGGCTCATGTCCCCCATCCAGGCTCAGTTCCAGAGCTGACAATCCTTCCTCATGCCAGGCAGCCAATGATTGACCAAGTCCTATTCATCATACCAGTCTGATCCTTTCATCTACCCCTGCCACCTCCATGGTTCAGTATTCGTGTCTCAACTAGAGAGGATGGAGTATGGTAGGAGTAAAAAGGACACCAGAGTTGGAATATGAAAATCTGGGTTTTCAGACTACTTTGCTGGTTGTTATTCAGTTGTGTCTGACCCCATTTAGGGCTTGCTTGGCAGAGATAATGGAGTGGTTTGCCATTTCCTTCTCCAGTTCATTTTATAGATTAAGAAATTGAGGCAAACACAGCTAGCAAGTATCTGAGGCTGAATTTGAACTCCTGAAGATGAGTCTTCCTGATTCTAAACCCAGTGCTCTATTCACTTTGCCAGTACATTTGTTCACTGCATCCCTAGCATCTAGTACAGTGCTTTAGTAGTTTAATAAGAGCTTGTTGACTGACTACCTGATTGTGGAATCTTTATTGAATCGATGGATTGCATTGGGGATAAAAATTGAACCTCTCAAGGCTTCCAATAAAGTATAAGTTTCTTGAAAGTACTCAGTTTTTCATTTTGTTTTTGCAACTATACCCAACCTGGTACAAAACCATGCGAATAGTATGTGCTTAATAAATGCTTGCTAATTTGGATTAGATTAGATATAGTTTCCTGATCTATAAAATGAGGGGGGATGGACCACATGGTCATTAAGGTCCCTTCCAGCTATAAAGCCTATATCGGATAACTGTATGCACCAGCTTTCTAACTGGTCTTGCCTCCATTCTCTTTCCTTCCAAAACACCTTCCACATGCTGCCAAAACAATTTTCTTAATGCAATACTCTGATTGTGTCCCTCCTCTGCTCAAGAGCCTTCAGTGCCTCCCCATTGCCTGCTGAGTCAAATAGAAGTTCCTTGCATTCAATCATACAATTTGCCTCCAGCCCATTTATTTATGTTGGTTTTGGTCTGGATCCTTGACTTTGTTGGTGAAGGAAGTTCCTAGTAAGAAAACTCCCCCTGCTAATGAGAATTGGCAATTTATCTGCAATTTATAGGCTCAGAGAGCTGCCTAGGAGGAATTGAGAGGTTAAGTGACTGGCTGGTCCAGGGTCGCTACAACCCAATTTTTTCCAGCTTTATCTAGCATTATTTCTCCTTTCTTGTGCTATGCTCCAGGCAAGCTGTCTCTCCATTCCTCATTCTCCTCCTAACTTCTCTTTGTCTATCTGCCTTGGCTCAAACTCTTTTATGTCCTAAATAAACTACTCTCCTCCTTCTATTTCCCTCCACTGAAGTTCCTTCCCCTCCTTCAAAGCCCAAGTCTAGGAGGCTCCCTCCTCCATGCTTTCTTGAACCCCCAGCTGAAAAATCAGCTCTCCTCAATCTGCTCAGGATCTCAGCCACTTCTTCTTCTTCTTCTTCTTCTTCTTCTTCTTCTTCTTCTTCTTCTTCTTCTTCTTCTTCTTCTTCTTTTTTAGGCAATTGGGGTTAAGTGTCTTGCCCAGGGTCACACAGCTAGTAGTTGTCAAGTGTTTGGTCTGAGGCAGGATTTGGACTCAGGTCCTCCTGACTTCAGGGCCGGTGCTCTATCCACTGCACCACCTAGCTGCCCCTTCTCAGCCACTTCTTTCACTTATCCCTTGCACCAGAGTTATTTATCTACTTGCCTTCCCTTTCCATTCAATTGTAAGCTTCTTTAAAGCAAAACTTACATCAAATCTACCTCCCAAACACCTTGGACTTGTGTCCTCTTCTCTTTGCTCATCCAGTCACCAGTCAAGTTTAGGTTTTTAATCATCTCTTGCCTGGAGTGCTATACCAGCCTCCTAAATGGTCTTTCTTCTTCCAGTATCTCCCCACTGTCCTCCCCACACATCCCCCACACCTGCTAAAATCATCTTCCTAAGTAAGGTACAGGTCTGACAATATCATTTCCCTCCTTAAAGACCCTCTTTGGCTCCTCCCACATTCCCCTATTAGACTGGGAGCTCCTTGAGGGCAGGCACTGTTTTTGCCTTTCTTGGTATTTGCAGAGCTTAACACAGTGTATAGCACACAGTAGGTGCTTAATAAATGCTTGTTGACCTGACAGCTGTAGGAAAACAGAAGCACAGAGAGCTAAAATTACTACCAACTCAGAGGTTCACACAGTCATGTCACCTCCTCTGTGAAGCCTCCTCTGATAACACCAGCTGTATTGGTTTCTTCTTCCTCAAATTACCTTATCTATTTATATGTTGTATCCTCACTGCAGAAGGTAAGCTTGACAGCAAGGACTGCTTTGTTTTTAATCTTTGTATTCCTGGGCCAAATACAATCACTGGCATATAATGGACAATCAATAAATCTTTGTTGAATCATTTGAATTGTTCTTGGTACCCTCAGCATCGAACATAAAGACCTTTGTAGATGACTAATAAATGTATGATCACTGGAGGTCTTCGTGTAGAGCCGAGGTGGGTCACCTGTCCAAAATGTTGCCCAGGAGAGGCTAATGCAGGTACAAGTCGGACAAAGAGGCTTCTGAGGTTCTTTTCCATCTTGAGATGTTAGGATTCTACAAATTTAAATTCACTTCAATGCAACCAGCAATTGAATTGCTTTCTGTGAATTGTGAATTGTATTGCACTGAATGACAGTGCCAGAACTGTCTCTAGAACATCAAAAGATGACACAATGTCTGAGCTGGAGGGAACCTTAGAACATGAAACGTAGAATGTCAGAGCTGGAAGGAACTTTAGGGGCAGGATGCTGGATTTGAAGTCAGTGGAAACCAGTCCTGTCTTTGGCACTTATTAACTAGGTGATGTTGGGAAAATAATTTCACCTCCCCTTATGCCTCCATTTTTTTATATGTAAAAAGGGTGGGAGGGGGAATAATATCTATGGTACTTACATCACAGGGTTGTAGTGAGGATGAAATGAAACAATGCACACATAAAGCACAATAATAAATAAATGTCAGCTGTTATTAGAGTGGAGTGTCTCCAAGAGGAGATGACAATATGTACCTCCCTTCTTTGCAGAAGTGGGTGATGAAGAGAGTGAAGCATTACATAGATATCAGACTTT